TGGAGGGATTTTTCTTGCGGACGCCATTGCCCTTCAGGCTAAACTCGTCGAAGTAAACGAATTTATTCATTTACATTCATCCCCACAATCACCTATCCCCATAACCGAAGACATTGAGTCTTCATCCGCTGCTCCCTTACCGACGCAGTTTTCTCCCAAATGGATTCAATGCCAAGTTCTAAGTCGTTCAAGGCCATTTCCGACAGCTCCTTTAACCGTCTTCCGCACACCGACCAACGAGAGAACGACGGCTTCGTCAAAGCCGGCGAACGTGCCAACAAGCGCCCACGACAACAACATCCCCTCTTTATTGATGATTTTCGTCGTTTATCCTCTTTTCTGGACAAATCCAAAGTCCATTTTTCTACAAACCAGCTCCAGCAAGATCGTGACCTTCATGTCGTTATCGGTCGGCCACCTACCGCGGCTGTCCCAAGGTTCCCAAAAAGACCTCCCCTCCCCCCCAAGAAAATCGTCACTCCTGTTGCTTCCCAAGGCACAAGAACTACCCCCATACTTCTGCTACCACCTTGGCAATGCCTCCCCAAAAACCCCACGTCAAGGTAGTAAGAACTGTCCCCCCTCCTCCAACCCAAAAGCGCAACACAAGCACTTCTCCAGCTGTTGTTGCAATCCCAAGTTTGGAACAAAAACTTCAAGTTATTGTCCAAACCATGGTCGTCACATTATCGCCGCCCTACAACAAACCACCAATGTCTAACACCGCCCACCCAAACAATCTCTGCATAGTACCTGGAATGCGCAAAGCATTAAAGGTAAATTGACTGAACTCGAGCGCTTCCTCGATGATAAGTTAATCGGTGTTGTTTGCATCACCGAAACTCACCTGCCCGAAAAAATCAAACTTTTCGTATCAAACTTCTCATCCTACAGAAGGGACCGTGAAAACGGCAGTGCCGGCGGTGTCGCCATTCATGTAAGGAATTCCTTAAAACACAGGCCTATCTCTTTGGTCACAAACTCGTTAGAAACAGTTGGCATCGAAGTTTCACTAACTTCCGGCCCTCTTAAGATTATCTCTCTATACACCTCGCCTTCGGATAGAAACTTTTCTGAACTCATCCTCCTTCTCCTCCCTCCAGGCGTTCCAACTATCGTCGCAAGCGATTTTAACGCTAAACACGTCTTTTGGGGCTGTAGACAAACCAATAAAAAAGGCACTTTCCTTCTTGCCAAAGTTTTCGACTTCAGTCACAGTTGAATCCCCCTAACCCCACATTTCTCTCTACCCTCACAATCAATTCCCTGACATCCTCTACATTTTCCTATCGTCCTCTACATTTTCCTATCGTCCTTAACGCACTTAGCTCGGACCACTTTCCAGCTATAATTAATGTCGGCCGCCCAACCAACAACCCCCGAAATCCAACCACTTCACTAGACTGGCTACACATCCGCTACACCCTCGAAACATCTTCATGCAGGTGCACCCTAATTCGCACAATAGTGAAACTCGACGAAGGTCTGAATCTCCTTTCAAACGACATTACCAGCGCCATCGAGCTCTCTACTACATCCCACCCCACGTCCGCCCCAGACAAAACTCTCCCCGCAGATATTCTTGACCTCCTATTAAGAGGAAATACGTAATTTCCGCTTGTTAAATTTCGTCCCCACTGCTTCCAACATCAAACACACGTCCCTCCTTGAAATCTTCTTCACCATCCGATCTCTGAGAAAGAGAAAACCTTGGCGCTGACGGAATTACTCTAATCTGTCTATCTAGACACTACTCGACTTTCCTCCTAAACTAAACGACTGTTTCAGAAGACCCTGCCACATTCTCTTATGAGCTGTTCACCCTTGCTTAATTCTGGTTTCATTTTTTAGCGCGAGTGCCCACCCTACTCTTCATGGTGGGAGACACTCCCCTCCCCACTCATACCTCTCCTCTTACCAAAGAACCTTCCCTTGGGATGTACAACCTTCTTGTTGGTCTCCCTACTCGAGGAAGGGTTTTAGTCGGTTTCGCTTCGGCGAATCCGGCAGTATCCTCTTTCGGGAGTGTTTTTTGAAGATTTCCCCTCCTCGAGGAAACACTAAACAAAAACATTTGACGAGTTTGGGTACCCAAGGCGTGTAATAACCGATGGGGGATTAGCTTTTACTAGCAGAGCGTTTTATGAATGAGAAGGGCATTGATGGGGAATCGATCAAACGAAAATACCAGCCCTGAATTTTCTCCAGCAGACCGATTGTTCTCATATCGGATTAGGTGAACAGTTGATTTAAAAAGGAGTGATGACACTGTTAGAGCAGGGCGAGAGCGCTTGCAAGCAAATAGGCGTAAGGCGGGCGAGGGATTGAAAAGAGTGTCAAGTCAAATGAAGGCGAGATATGATAAACGGCGAAAGGTTGCAACTGAATACAAAGTAGGTGATTTGGTGTTATGACGTCAAACAGCTGCTAAGCTATGAGACAAGGGTTTTAACAGAATCCTATATCACTGACCTCTAGGTCCCATTTATATCATTGTTTCTGTAAACTCACTAGCTCATATTGCAATCGGGGAATCCCCTCTGCATCACAGATATTATTAAATAGCAGCCGCCAAAGCCGCCTATACACAGAACAAAGAATTATTATAATATAAAATTAATGTGGTATGTTCGGAAAAGTTAAATACCTAATAATTTATCTTAGCTCTTGGTATTTTTAAGGTAGGGCATTGCCCCACAATGCCCCCTCCCCAGCTGCGGCCGTGTAGCCAGATATATATTTTTTTGGACGTGCCTTAGCCGTATGTCGTAATAATTTCGTGGCTCAAAAAGTGAGGGAGATGGCATATGGTTTCGGACTAATGCTATCTCTTTCATGACACGCTTATGCACCATCGTGAGAGAGATGGATATTGTCCGAAACTTAATTCCACCTCTTTCTTTTGTTGTACCACAATTCTGACCGCTAAGGCATGTCCATTAGTAAACGTCGATGATGAGTACCATGATTCTATAGGTGATTCCATTATTCTAAGGTAATCTCTCTTATCTATGCTCTTATCTATGGGTAATCTCCAGGTAATCTCCAATTTCATTTATTTTTGTTTATGTGTCAAAAGTATTTGTCTAAAAGTTTATTGTGTTTAAAATATGGATTTAAATATTCAGAAACTACCGGTGTTCGTATTTCCACCAGCTTTAAAATTCTATCTTAATTCAAGACAGACTCATAAACAACTGCTGACACTGTATAATCCGTATGAATTCCCTGTTAGATTTAAAGGTAATGATGATTACATTATACTTCATAATTGAACTGGTAAATTAGAAATACGTTTGTAGTTTTGTGTACATCTCCTAATAAATATACTGTGATAGACCCAGAAGGTAGTATTGGACCATCAAAATGTGTCGATATTGTTATAAGACATACAATGCCTTTATTAGCTCATTGTAATATTACGGACAAATTTCGAATTACTTTGCAAGATCATACAACCAAACAGGTGAGCTTTAATCAACATGTATCATTGCCATAAATACTGAGGTGGAATTTCAATTTTATCTTTTCAAGAATATATGTCTTCAGGTATTGGGTAAAAGGGATATAGAATCTAAATTGTTACAAGCAGAATCCGATACTAGTTCAAATGATGGTGATAATTTTCACTCTTTACCTCATGCAGAAAAAGATCTAGATGAACCACGGAATGTTCAGTATCCAATTAAAAACATTCAAAGGTATTTTTTAATAAAAATAAAATTGAAAATGTTTTACATATTATGAAATATAATTAATGCACATAAAAAATAATTAAAATAAATATATGGGTTTATTTCATAAGCTTGACATATTTCGGTAGATACTATCATGCTCAGTAGTTAGTAAACACTGAAATCTAATACAAATTTTTCTGTATATTATGGGGAAAAGCTACCATGTATATTAATACATCATATTAAATGATTGTGATATGTGAACAATTATCTTCATGTGGTTATTTACTAATTTATCTAAATTTAAGGTTTATGCACCTAGAAAGGTACCAATAGACAATATTAAATACTCAAATTTTAACAAAACAAAGAATTATTATAATATAAAATTAATGTGG